TGTGAAAAGCAGCGCATGATGAAAAGAAAATGTTATGAAACAACAATGTGAAAGAGTTAATGGACACGTCAAGTTGGCATGAGATGGTTCTTTAGCGTTTTTCTGACAGTGAAAGTATCTTATATCGCTGACTCTATTACTGACTCTGGTTCTCACTGACTCTTATAGTGAATTCCATTGGCAGGAACTGGTGGAGTGTTTCTGCATTCAATGTATATGTTTCCTTCTTACTCGCATGTGTTACGTAGTTGAATATACACTCAGTGGGTAAACTCTCCACCAGTTCCTGATAATAGAATCCGCTATTACTATCAACCAGCTATCAACAAACAATGGCAGTACAAGTGATTCATGAATTTGAAAAAATTTAGAAAGGAGAATAAAAATCGGCATACTATGGTCTAGGGTCCCTTGATGGAAATTGACGTTAAAGTCATCCTAACAGGGTACGGACAGATCCTCGTCTCCTCTCACTCTAAAGTGTTTGTGAAACAGTTATATAGTTCCATCCTTATTCAATTCTAGGGAAAAACACTAGATTTTTGACATTCGTTGTTTTTTAGGTTATATTGTGGTCACTGGCGTATCATACGTAATTTCCATATGGAATTCCCGATTCAACTAAACCAAGATATAGATGAACAGTCCTCTAGATTTAGAGTTTACTACTCCAGCATAATCTTTGCGAGGTACTGAAAGCTTAATATATTTCACTAAGAGAGACTGTTCTTAGACTGTATACTAGGGTTGACTGAATTGACTGAATCAATTCTGATTTCAAGCTGAGCAGAAGTTTATCTATCAGCTTAATGAGCTGAGCCTTATGATTGAGAAATGATGGAAACCGAAACTACTGTACTCATTCATGTGTGCTCAATATATTTTTGGAAATCCAGCTCGGTGAGGAATTTATGGAGTGACTAATATCACGTATATCATATATAAAACTTTGTCTAGGACGAGAAGTAGGCTGATAAAAAGTAATACGTAAAATATGCAGGAAAATAAAGAATAGAATATACTTTACCCCCATGTTATACATATGATTTTTCCGTCCCCCTCAAATTAAAAGTCATTTTCGAACAATTGATTGATAAAAGTAACAAAGATGTAGGTATACGCAGTATAACTTATAGTCACGTTATTTTCACTCTTGCATCCTACATATTTTCTATTTGTGGTAGAGTAATAATCATATAAACTAATGTCTTTCGCCATATCGAATCCGCCATCTTGAATTTTCCAATTTTGACGAAACGATCATTATCTCCTACCCCGGAAACCCCCAGATACCAATTTTGAATAGAATCGAATCTCCATTACAAAACTCGTCCACCATAATGGATCCGCCATCATGAAAATCACAATTTTGACGAATTAATTATAATCTCCGACCCAATTGACAAAAAATCATAAAGTTCGACCCCGAAAACCCCCAGATACCAATCTTAAATAGAATCAGATCATAATTAGAAATTTCTTTCGCTATACGGGCTGATTCACGGTGGCAGCGCTGAGAATATTTCAGGTCGATAGAACACAACTAATTATTCAAGGCACCAACTCTTCAGAATAATCCTGAGTTGCGTTTTCCAGATACGTCTAATGTGCCATCCACCGTGAATCAGCCTGTGTATTGGATTGGTCATCTTGAATTTTCCAAGTTTGACGAAACAATCATTATCTCCAACCCCGGAAAACCCCAGATATCTTCCAATTTTGAATAGAATCGGATCATAATTACAAAACTCGTTCGCCATATGATCTTCAACAAGTAAACACCCTGTACATACCTATTATTGAAATTTGTAGCGCCCATGGATGTGATGTGACAGCAATGTCAGGGATGCCAGTAGACAAAACTAAAGTCTCTACATCATTAAAAAAGAATGCAGCTATGATCTGTCCGTACCCTGTTAAGATGACTTTAACGTCAATTTCCATCAAGGGACCCTACTATGGTCATGTTCCCATATTGCTGACATTACTGGGCACAGTTAGCAATTTAGCAAAACTAAACAGTAGCAGTAGCTTTGAATTTTCATTTCATTTCGGAACGATTTTGGCAGTACTGGCAGCAAAACATAACCATAACCTATGATCTTTCGATTTACGATGTTTGTTTTGTTGTTGATTTCGTCATTCTTATTATTATGAAGTTATGAAGAAATGAAGCATAGCTGTGACATAATTGAGATCAAAAGAAGGAATGACAAACAATCTTGCAGATTAGTGACAGTTTCAGCGTCTACTGCCTCTGTGAGATCTTCCAGGTCGACTTCACACATTTTCCCAAAGTATTTGAGATAATAATAAGATAGCTAGCTATACCATACGACAACCTACCTTGTGTTTCTTAACTATCACTGACCTTCTGACTCCACAATGATGTCAGGCACAAGACGAAAAAAAACTGTCGTTTTCCAGTTTCTGATGAAAAATTCCTGCAGCAAGCTCTGGAAAATTAAAAGACAGCTCATCCTGCTTTCCAGGCAGTCATACACGTATAATGACCATCCATCAAACGCTCGTCTTCGGTCCATTTGGCGCACGAAGTTTATTCAAGTGTCATCTGTCAAGTATTTTATTGTCGCTGGCAAAGAGGCGGACGGCTTGTGAATGCGCCGCAATTTAGCACTTTTTAATTATACTGGGGTTGCTCGCAGACAGAAGCTAATGAGGAACTCCCGCTAAGGGTGATGAAGGGAGATTTGACTCTTTCATAGATGAGGCCCGGGTTAAATTCACCCTAATTCTAAAGAACATTTCTGGTAGAAATCCAGCATAGTCTCATAGTAATTTATTGTACCTACAATGGAGTAAAGTCATGAAATCATAAGGATATATTTTGAATTAATATTGAAATGTATTTTTACCTAATAATATTGTAATATGACTAAAATAATTTTCTTTTTTTATTATTTTTTATTCAATAAATTATATTGACAGTCTGTATGAAAACACGTGCTGGTACGCTGTGAACTATGTACAACTTGACCATTCTATAGCTTTGCCTCTGAGAATTGGATGCGCAGTAGACCAGTCGGGGAGTGGGGGCAAGATCTCATTATTGTCGAGGAACTCGTGCAATCAACATCGGTTTGTACAGTCAGTGAAAAAATTATTTAGTGAGCTACACATATTTCTTTTGTTGAGGAGAATGCACTTTTGAAAATATTAATCAACGTGTCTCAGCATTTTTTCGAACACACCCCCGTTTATTCCTTCCAATCGAATTTAATCCATTTGGGTAATACACGTGAGTTATCTTGTGTAACTATGGACTTGGTCTTTACTTTGAGAATTAAAAGTTTATTCATTGCTCATAATTTGAGTCATAATTCGACGTTATTATCGCTCTAGTTATTTCTCAACTATTACCTTCAATTTACTTTTGAATAGGATTACAATATAGAACATTCAATCTGGTAGAAAGGTAGTAGGTAACTATCAACTCATTCACAAGTATCTCTAGTAACTATTACATTCTAGATATTATTCTTTACTACCAAGGTGTGCCAAACATTTTTTTCACCACTAGCAGTATATTGGACCTCTATTGTTTTTGTTATTCGTCAACGATATCTGTAACTCAATTAGCTCTGACAAACTACTCTTTGCTGATGATTTGAAAATATTTAAAATCATACGTAATAACCACGATGTCAATATTCTGCAAAACGATCTCGACACTTTGACTGAATGGTGCACCTGTAACAATTTACCACTTAACGTAAACAAATGCAAAGTTATGACCTATGCAAGAATTTTGTCGCCGGTGGAACACAATTATTTGTTGAATAATATCATTATTGATCGGGTAAATGAATGTAAGGATCTGGGAGTAATTTTCGACAAGAAATTGACATTTGCACCACATATAGAAAATATTACATCAAAGTCTGCTCGGCTCTTAGGCTTCGTTATTCGCAACAGCAAAGAATTTTCTTGTATTGAAACAATGAAAGCTGTTTATTTTTCTATAGTACGTTCTAAACTTGAATACTGCAGCACTGTTTGGAATCCATACCAGAAAAAATATATCGACTCAATAGAGAAAATTCAGCATAAGTTTCTGAAGTTCCTATATTTTAAAAAACACGGAACATACCCAGTACTTCATTATGATCACCAGCTACTATCAGACGAATTCAAGCTGACAACTTTGAGGAAGCGTAGAGAGATCTCCGACCTTACATTCCTTTACAAAATCGTCCACAATCTCATCGACTCATCAGAATTACTATCATTGATTAATTTCTATGTACCGCGAATTACTTCGAGATCGAACATAACTTTTCATATAGATGTACCAAATTCCTTCCATCATTTTCATAGTCCTTTGCTTAATATATGTAGACAGATAAATAAGTTAGAAAACGTAGACATTTTTTCCGTTTCGCTAGCACAATTTAAAAAAATTCTGTTTCTACAAACTTCGAATTAATTATTAAGTAGTGAACATTTGCACAGCAATATTATCAGAAAACTCATTGACGAATACTACCTTGGTAGTAAAAACACACTTTATATCATGAAAAGGAGTAAATAATGGTAGGTTATAGAGCTGGTGGTGGAAAAACTATTATTCCGATTGTACTCCCCAATAAAATCGCGTAGTGAATCTTTGTGGCACACTATAACCCTCTCTGTTTATGGTGTACACATCTAAGAGTATAGCTCGTGGAAAGCGTTAGGTGGCGATGACGCGAAATCCAAGGTTTTTGTTCACCCAAAAAAAGTGCTGACCGCATTAAATACGTTCTCACTTCAATAAAATTTTCTACAATAGCATCAAATAGAGTGACTCCGTCCAATCAGGATTTCTATTTGTCAGATTGTCGGCCCACTCGATAAAAATTGCAGCAGTGGGAGTTGCTCCAAGTATCGCCATCCCTACTTACTTTGAGAAAGTAAGTTTTCGGCGGCTATGACTATGTAAAGAACTATTATTGTTTATCCTGAACGATACACGTTTACGAACTAAATTATTGTTAAGTCGACACCATAATGACTCATTTCCTGTAAAATGCTTTTAATTAATAATTGTGGCAATGTAATCGTACCTACGTTCTTTTTAATTCAGTACCGATTCTCCAAAGTTTTTAGGAATACTTCCTAATAGGAATCGAATGAAAGTGTGAAACATCAGGTGAATTCAATTCGTACTGACCTTATTTTTACATTAAATAGTCTCATTCGTGAATCTTCTGGCATTCATGGGCCAAACTACTGGTACAGGTATGCCTGAAACATGATATTCTTGTGAGACTCGAGAAAGAAGTTGAATCAGGTAGGAAGTTTCGTGATGGTGATGAATTTTCGAACTGTTCGGTATGAATATGCTTATATACGAATATTCGAAGTCGTGTCGTGTCTTCAACGAACTGCGGACCGATTTACATATCTGGTTTTTAAACTATCGAATCGCGTTTTCTTCTTCTCAGCTCGTTTGGGAATACCGTCATATTATAGTCTTGATTGGCTCAGGGGAAATTCACTGCTGGCTAAAACGATTTTCTCGCTATTTCTTTCAGATTCCGTAGGCTGATTTAACCGTGTTAGTATCTACCGATGAGAGCGATACTTCTCTGTACGGGTTGTTTTTTAAACAGCTGCAGTGAGTTTTCCTCGTAGTAGTTCTGTTTTTGTACGTGATACGGTGATAAATATTTCTATTACAGTAAGTGCCCATATTTGTAATCATTCACATTTGAAAAAAACTCTCAGTTTCATTTATTCGTCAGCTTGATTTTCTTTATAGTGAATTTTCTATTGTATCATTCGATTAAGTGCTGGATAATGAGTACATGATTTTAATATCCTTCTATTCTACGAGCAATTCTCTGAATTACTGAAGTTTTTCTATGCCAAATTTATATTTCCAAAATGTATCGGTCAATAAACTGCTTCACAATTATAGTTTTGAATAATTTTGAATAAATTTGCCAGACCAGTTTGAATGTTGAAACTTCTAATCTGTTGCCTAACAGATTTTCTCAATGGTGATATGATCAAGTACTTACCACATTTCTGCATCAAGTGGAGAATTTGTTCAAACCACCCGAAAATGTCACTGATATACAGGGTGTCTGTAAAAGGTCTTTACAAAAACATACCACACATTCCATAGACCAAAATAGGTCGATTCAAGTAAAATTACCTCAGTACAAATTTGCATCGTTTGGGCTCCAGAGGGCCTTGAAGTTACAATTTTTAAATCGTTTTTCCTATATAAATTCTAAAAGGCATATGCGATTTTGCTGAAATTTCATATATTGATAGAGTTTTATGTGGCAAAAAAATGGTGTTACAATTTTGTCCGATAATAATACATAGGCGTAGAACTTGATTTTTTAAATAATTGTACCTTTAAAAATTCTACTCTAACGGAAGAAAAGGAGTTTGAGTATGAAATTTAGATTGCGCAACTCATTTACTTTAAAAAAGGTACTCTTGATAAGACTCGCTTGCTCTCATGGTTTTGACGAAATTTGCATTTTAGTAATTTTAGAACATACACAATAATTATTAGAATCCAAACTTTGCCAAAACCATGAGAGTAAATCGAGTGTTATCAAGGGTACTTTTTTGTAGTAAATGAGTACCCAATCCAAATTTCATACTCAAACTCTTTTTCTGCCATAGGCGTAGAACTTGATTTTTTAAATAATTGCACCTTTAAAAATTCTACGCCAATAGCAGAAGAGGGGTTTGAGTATGAAATTTGGATTGGGTACTCATTTACTACAAAGAAGTACCCTTGATAACACTCGATTTACTCTCATGGTTTTGACAAAGTTTGTATTCTAATAATTATATTTATTAGATTGAACTATTGTAATAAAAACTTCTTTATCCTCTGTGTGATTTTTGCATCTACCTTAGTTTTTGAAGAAACAATGAAACTCCAAATTTTAATGTAGGTGTTCTCAAGACTTCCATTGAGATTACTCAATAAACCCCATTAGAATCATCTTGAAATTTTGGGGCTTTCTCAGTCTCCATCCATACTGAATTTTGCTCGGCATTTTGGCACCATGAAAGCTCATACAGGGGGGTTATAAATGAAAAACAATTAATTCTTCCAACTTCAACATCCTGTATCTCAAAAACGAAACAAGTTAGGACACGTCATGTTTATATGAACTTTATTTCCTAAAATATCACAAGGAATCATGTATATAGAAGAGGTAGCCTAGATAATAATTTAAAAAAAAATAGAGATTGAACTATTTCAAAAATATACTTGATGTTGGACTCGATACATTTGACTGAATGGCGAATGATGATTAGAAAAATGAAGAATGTACTGCTTGTATTATAAAATTAATGACACTAGGAGAATCTCTATTTGGAAAGTAACTAAGAATTTCTGGGTAGGGAAAGTAATTTTTATAAGTAGACAACTTAGATAATCGACGAACATCATCGAGAATAATATTATTCTTACTCATTTCCTATAATTTGTGCAAGTATTATACAATTTTTTGAAAATGGTCTGTAAGAATTCAATCTAATCTAGTAACTATATACAAAACTTTTTCGGTAAACGTACTTTGAAATTGAAAACAACTGTAAAAGCTATATACAGTATCAAGGACGGGACGACGAAATAAATATCCATATATGAATATGATATTTCTCGTTTCCACAAAATAATTATTCATAATTATTATTTACCCATTGATATAGTCGAATAAACAAAATAATTATCGAAAGTACCTGCTCTTCAATTTTATCGACTGATTCATTCATCATGGTGTTTTACCATTATTTTAATTGCGGAACGTTATTGAATCGAACACAAAATAATTCCCTAGTGAACTTTCGAATAGCTTGGGAATCAACATAAGTTATATACTACGAAATGGCCACAATGCTCAACATAATAGGACAATCTCTAACCAACTAAAATATTTTCGACAATGCGGTGTTGCCACTTCTATTAGGAAAATGTAGCAACTTTGATATCTCATATGGAATACCCTGTGTTTCATTGCATTCTCAGATTCACCCAGAAGAGCTGATTCCATCAATGCATCACACTTGGGGTCTAGCGGTAATGATAACAGAGTGTACAAAATCGAAATTTTTCAAGTTTATGATTGTTTTTCTCGAAACAATTTATTATCCGTCAAAACATCTTCCCATGTCCCTATATGTTAACTTGTGAACTATCTACTCACATTCATTTGAAACAGATACAGGGTGATGGGAATTCTGAATCTTGAACTCTCTTCTCTAGAAATTTGAAGAAAAATTCCGTAAACTTTGACAACTTGTCGTTGATTAACTTTCTCAAAAGGTGATTGTGAAGCATATTGTTTCTTATACATAGAGTTTGAAATTGAATCTGCATTTGTGCATTTTTTCTCAAATCTCAAGTGTTGTTTTCTATTTTGCTTTCACTCTGCAAATTCTGCAATGGCGATTCATTCGTCTTTCATTGGCCTTCAAATAACGATCTCTTCAGTAATAATAAAATTCAAGGAATACATAACACTAGAAAATATTCATCATGTTCCATCCAATGTATATCATGATGTAAGTTTTTTCTATTATTTTATTGTCTTCACTTTAGCTGTCCGCTGTCCTAACCTAACCTAACCTGACCTCAAGTCAAAATATCACAATTGAAAATTCAAGTTGTCGAGAAAAAGTAATTTCGGAGTAGTAGGAACTGTAGTAGTTCCAAGAAATGTTCGGCGAATCCGCCTACTATTCCCCTATAGAGATTGTCAAAATTCCAGAGCAGATTACACCCGCAAACTATTTCCAACCCTCCATATCTGGAACGTCCAGGAATCCACGAATACTTGGGTTATGATTATACATTAACGAAAATGTTTCAGCATAACACTGAATCTAGGAATACATTGTTGAATTTTGTTTTAACATTCTCCTTGATAGGCGATACATTTCTTCTGATTTCAATGTTTTCACCAAATGGCTTGCTTTCACTATCAAGACGAGAAATCAGCTGCTGATATATGATAATAATCTGGAAATAAGATCTAACATGAAATCTATTAAAATGGGCATCCCTCAAGGAAGCATCACTGGGCCAATCTTATTTATAATTTACGTAAATGATCTTGCTGATATTGCAGCAACAGTTGAAAATAGTTTCCTAACCATGTATGCAGATGATGCGAATTTTCTACTATCCCGGTTTAATTGAATCCGCAGAATCAGTTTTAACAGCAGCCAATGAGTAAAGATAAAAATATACTGATACTTAATAAAGAAAAAACGAGTTGTATATTGTTTGAAACAACACATGCACGATTCCAAAAACCTGAAAGTATAGACATAAATAATAGAAAGTATGATACAATAACATCAACCAAATTTCTAGGTGTTGTTATAGACGAAAATTTGAAATGGAATTATCATATTGAGAAACTATGTAATAAACTGAATAGTGTGACCTATAGTTTGAGAATTATGGCAATATATCTGAACAACCCAACATTGAAGATTGTATGTCATGCACATATTGAAGCAGTTTCAAGATATGAGATTATTTTTTTCGGTAGCAGTGGTGAATTCAAAAAGTTATTCACAATCCAGAAACGAGAATAATATCAAATTTGAGTTTTTTGGAAACGTGTGCAATATTTATACAAGAGTGTTTACTGTTCTTCTTTAAAAATAAACAGTTTTTCAATGATTGTCTTTCACAATATACATATGGTACTAGATCCGTAATTTATAGCTATCCAGCACACAGAGTAACACTGACAGAAAAAAATACAAAATACTGTTGCTTAAGATTTTTTATGAAGCTGCCTCGTGAGGTTCCCGTTTTTTCATTCGAATTTTGTGTCACATTTATAAGTAACTAATGATATTTTCAAACTTTGTAGACAGAACACCTATACATTACTTCTGCTTAAGTGAAGAAGAATTTGGTTGATTCAAATGCGTCACATTTCAGGTATATCAAGTTCTTCTTTGCATCAGCTTAACGACACTACTACGTCATTCTTACCTGATGAACCCTAGTTCATTAGGAAATTTCGAAATGTTCTTGTGCGTTTCTCGATATCATGGATGTCCAGAGCTTCTGGGGACACTGTTACAGAAAAATATTGATATTCAGAATCAATGGATTTCCAAGATTTATTTTTCTTTCTTCATCGTGTGATACGAATCCTAATCAGTTGTATGAACTCCCATATACAGAAAATTTTTAAAAGTATAACTATTTCTCAGGGTGTGAAATGGTTTTATATTTGTTGAAATATTCAGATACAATCTGAACATTTTTAGGAAAAATAAATACATTACCGTTACCGATGTAGTTACTCTTTTTAAACTAATTATTCTGCTCTGAAAATCTTGACTTTTTGTTGCTGAAATCTCAAAGCATTTCACTTTCTCATTTGGGAATATAATATTATTTAAATAAATATGCAAAGCTTGAAGTCATTTCCACAAATGTTCGTAAATGAACGGAACTGGTAGAACATTGAATTATATCCTTCCGAAATCTATGCAACGATTTGAATAGACGAATAAGATCACGAGTGTTTCCCTTCTAAATTCTGAATTGTGCTAAAATTGTTCAGGAACGCTTAAATACTTACATACCGGTTTCGAACTTCGGATCTCATCAGTGCAGGGGTGTCCCCAGATGGCATTCATGACCGTCATCAGGTGCGAACCTGACCCAACGTAAACACCTCTCAGCATTTAATACCCAGGAGGCATTAGCACAATGGGCTTATATCACAAAAAAATTTTATTCCATAATTCGATAGAACTCACCCAAACTAGCTCACCACCGCAAACCGTTTATCGCTGTGAGCTCCCTACGTTTTATAAAAAATTATTGAAATCCCCGATTTTTCGGACCTCTGAAAACGAGGCGATGATGTGACGTCAAAACCCTAATACTGAAATAGGACTATTCCAGACAGAGATGAATGATACATGATTTCTGGCAGAGTGAATTATTAGCGCGAGATCACAGTTGAAAGAATTAATATATCAGTTGCCTCAGTCTCCGTCCGGCGATTGGTATCTTCTTTTAACTATGGCGAGATGAGGTTTCTACGTCATAAGAGGGTCCGTTTTCAGATGGTACTATTATTTATGTCCAAAAATTGAACATTCCAGTTAATTTTTCGATCGAATTATGTCGTCAATCATTATTTATGTATGAAAGGATCATTATAAACATGGTTTGAGTTAAAAGTTCTACCAAGGTGTACACGCCCATTCAACATTAAGGAAATAAACAATTGCAATTTGATTGCAGAGATTTCGAGAGGAGGTATTTCAATGTTCTGCGGGGCATATAGCCAGGAAAGTAGTTGTTCTTTCCTCGTTATCTTTATGTTTCGTTCATTTATGAACATTTGTGGAAATAACTCTGAGCTACGCATATCTATTTAACATGTCATTCCACTTTAAGCATTTTGGCTTTTTCGTATAGTTGATAATATTTTTTATATTCATTGTTGTCACCACAATAACTTATAACTACGTCAACACTTATCAATAATATATTGAAATCCATTAAGATATTATTACAAAGATAATTTCCAGAGGCCAATTCAATATTTCAATATTTCATGTTTTATTTTAATAAGTGTTGTACTCACGATGATTCCATGAGTTCTTGATGAAACATATTCAGAAATGTTAAGTGCGTTCCAACTTATAGTGATAAGGTGCAAAATTGAATATCTATACAGTGTTTTGATAAAGATGGTTGAGAAAAAAGCCCGATTATTACTTAACAAGAACTGCCATATACTTACCAACTGATTTATTTTTTCCATCATTTTCATAGTTGGCCTTAGAAGATAAAATAATGCAGTAACAAATACAATTTTTTTGTTTCCAGTTATGGTGAGCCAAGTGGTGAATTCTAACTCAAATGCCATTATGGGAGGCACAGGGATGACAATCAATAGAAAAGCAGAGAGACGAAAACCCAAAGTTGGAGATCTTGATTTCAAACCACCCGATGGTGGGTGGGGTTGGTTGATAGTGGTTGCATGCGGATTTGGAAACGTAAGTCATTAGTCGTGCGATCCTTACCAAATTTGGACCGGTATGTATAACCATTGATATGATCAGTTTTTCAGAGACGATCATATTACGTTTTTATTGGAATAAGAAGAGGTTGATTTTTCATGAAATCATATTAGGATTTCAATGCAAACAAAACACAAGCATGCTTTTTCTCTAGAAATGCCGGTGTCACTGTACCCAACATAAGCTTGTCAGGAGTAACCATAACTTTGAAGACATCCATTTCGATGCTTGGTATTACTATCAGCAATAACCTCACTTGGGAAAATCACGTGAGATCTATTACTAAAAGTGCATCCCAAAAACTTGGTTTTCTGTTTCGGGCCAGGAGCTATTTCACTTCCAGTCAGCTGCTTATGATCTATAAGGCACAGATCCGACCTTTCCTGGAATACTGTTTGGAGTGCAGCACCCAAACATGCCCTGAAACTTTTGGATTCTGTCCAAAAAAGGGCAATTCGTCTCGTGGGTGATGCCTCGCTCACAAACTCACTCACTTCTCTGGAACACCGTAGAAAAGTTGGCGATCTGGCTCTATTTTACAGATATTTTCATGGACGATGCTCTTCTGAAATATCAACAATTGTTTCTCCCTTGGTAGTCCCCGCGAGATTAACCCGTCGAGTTGAGGCTTCGCACCCCTTCGTGGTCACTTTGGAGACCTGCAGAACATCTCTTTCCAAAGACTCGTTCATCCAACGAACAGCGAGGCTCTGGAACACATTGCCAAAGGAGGTGTTTCCTGAGGCATATAACCTCCAGAAATTTAAGAAGAACACTAATTCCTACCTTCTTTCCCTTGGTTCTCACGATGTTTTCTGAACATTACAGGATATCCCTTTTCGTTGGAACCAGAACATAAAAAAAATCATATTATTGTTTCCCCTTGCAAACCCTCATATGGAGAAAATCACCTCGTTTCCAATCGACAATTTTGGCTTCATTTTTTTCATTTCCTGCCTCGAAAAATCATTCAAATCAACTTCAAATTTTGGACCCATCAATAGCTCCGTTAGGTTGAAAATGATGATTTGAAATGAAAAACTGGATACACTTTTTTTTTGAACTCACCGTTTCCGTGTGAATAAAGTTATTTATGTACCAAGGACGAAAAACTATCTACTATAGTCGAGTGCAAATTGATAGCCGAAGCTAGTAATCAGGCAAAATTATACATTTTAAATAAAAAAAGAAGGTTACTCACTCCCGATCAAACCAAGAATGATACTTTATTAATTTTTTTCAGTTATGTTCATTTCCGATGTTCCACCAGTTTGGTCTAGTCTTTAAAGAAAAATTCGCCCAAGTAGGAATAGACAGTAGTCAAACGCTGACTATACTCAATTTATGTGTAGCTTTTAATACAGGAGTAGGTAAGTGCGTATAATACCAAAGAGTGCCCCAATATAAATTTGACGTATTGGTCATTATTGCCTTGATATCAATTCGACATCTCATCTCATCAGGAAATCCTCTTGAATTTAACGAAAAAACAAGGATACGTCTCATCGAATAGAATTTTAGAATGAGATGAGACCTTGATCTGGTCATAACCTTATACAGAGAAGCCCACAAAAAATGGCCAGGACTGTAACTTTTGAATTATTCGAGATAGGGTTTTGAAAATTGATGGGCAGCTAGTATAACAAATTGCTCATTACTTGACGAAAGAATTTTTGTTCACTTCCGATTTTACAGGAAACGACCCCAACTTTTGATTTTTTAATGGGACACGACAAACTGTATTTTATTCCATAATCGGTTAGGGATTGTCATAACGAATTCATCGATAGCGGGTTTGATAGGGTTATTTCACAAACTCACTCACTTCTCTGTAACACCTTTGACAAGTTGGCGATCTGGCCCTATTTTATAGATACTTTCATGGACGATGCTCTTCTGAAATATCAACAATTGTTCCTCCCCGCGAGGTTAACCCGTCGAGTTGAGGCTTCGCACCCCTTCGTGGTCACTTTGGAGACCTGCAGAACATCTCTTTCCAAAGACTCGTACATCCAACAAACAGCGAGGCTCTGAAACACATTGCCAAGGGAGGTGTTCCTCGAGGCATATAACCTCCACAAAAATCAAGAAGAACACCAATTCCTACCTTATTTCCCTTGGTTCTCACGATGTACTCTGAACATCACAGGATATCCCTTTACATGGGAACCAGAACATAACAAAAAACACCAATTTTCAAAACCCTATCTAGAATAATTCAAAAGTTACAACCCTGGCCGTTTTTTGTGCACTTCTCTGTATAGAAGAATGACCAACTTCTCACACTGATATATTCAATGCACCCAGCAAGTTTGTGATTTTTCTGACTTGTATTGTTGTGTTCTAGGTTTATTAAATGGGCCTTTATTCAGGCTTTTTTCTCAAAGACAAGTAGCAGGGTTTAGTGCCTGTGGAATAGTTATATCCCTAATAGTATTATCGTTTTGTACCCAATTTTGGTCTCATATAGTCATGTACTCATTATGTTATGGTAAGACCATCCTATTCAATGATATACTCGACTAGTAAGCACTACTAACCCTTGATTTTTTGTAGGTGCTAGTTTTGGATTACTAGAAGCAGCCAACTCCTTAGCCATCAACACGTATTTCAAAGAGAAACGAAGATCTGCTACGGGATATTCGTGGACCTTAACCGGTCTAGGGCCTATAATATGCCCTTATATAATAGTTTTCCTTGAGAGATACTGCGGAATAAATGGGGTGATAATTATTTTTGCTGGAATAGCTATGCACTCCATTCTATGCAGTCTATTTTTGCAACCAGTTGAATGGCATACGGAACCAAGAGTAAGTGATCCAAAACATAACCCTTCCGGATTCTGGACTCGCACTCCTTTCAAATAAGGGTTTCACCTCGGAATGAGACATAATTAGCTGGAAACTCGTATACACCATCATTTTGACGTTCTAAAAGTTATCTGAAAAGTCTCAAAAAATCTCGTGTCTGCGTCGTGAGTTATTCAAGGTGAAAGGTCACAAAATTCGGTTCTAAGTTTAAGACTCTAAGAACATCAAAATGAAGTTTCCAGCTCATCATCTCTCATTCCGAGGATGACCTCTTTCTTTACTAAATGACTGGAGTATGGTCATATCTTTTAGGACGAACCAGTTGAAGCTCCTATAGGTGATGAACAAAAAACGATTACACGTAATATGGCATTAGCTGACAAGTTTTTTGCTAACGAGGGTTACTGTCATTCGGAAGTAGAACCACAAAAACCATCCCTCCTGGTTGGCAAAGAAACCGATTCAACTTTAGAGAATAGTCAGATACAAGAAGTTAGTGCAAATGGCGAAGAAGATATTCATAAGAGTGAGGGGATTTGTTGTACCAAAGAGGAAGATACAAATAAATCCGAAGAAAGCTTAGATGGAAAACGTGTAGTTCTAGTAGAAGAAACCGATCCAGTATTAATATCCGAACCGACAAACACGCTCAGAGAAAAATTCTGCACTTACTTCGACTTCGACCTCATGAAAGACCCGACCTATCTCAACTTGAACTTGGGACTAACATTTGCGAATGTGACAGAAATGAACTTTTCCTTAGCAACTCCTATCATACTGACAGAATTCAACTTCACGAAGTATGAAATTGCTAATTTCATGTCTGTGTTGGCTGCCACAGACCTAATCGTTAGATTCATAAGTTCAGTTGTGGCAGACAAAATTGGTTGGAGCAATCGAACCTATTTTCTCATAGGAGTAATGAGCATGGCTATAGGAAGAGTCAGTGAGTATCTATAATCATTATCGTTCTAAATGGAAACCTAGTAAGCTATATAAATTTACAAAGCTCATAGAGCCATTTCCACAAAATTTCATAAATGAACGAAACTGGCAGATAACCTCCCGAAATCTATCCAAGGATTCGCAAGTGTTTCCTTCCTAAATGCTGAATTGTGCTCGAATTATTCAGGAATGCTTGACTACCTACAGACCGGTCTCGAGCTTTTGGTGAGGCTTTTGGCTCTCATCAGTGCAGGGGTGTCTACAGAAGGCTTCATGACTGCCATCTGGTGCCAACCCGACTGGCGAAATTTCAACTACGAAAGAGCCAAAATGCTGGAATTTTTTTACGTTGGGTCAGGTTGGCACCAGATGGCGGTCATGAAGCCAACTGGGGACACCCCTGAATTGATAAGAGTAAAAAGCTCGAAACCGGTTTGTAGGTAGTCAAGCATTCCTGGACAATAGAGAATTTGGGAAGAAAACAATTGCGATCTTATTCGTCTATACGAATCGTTGCGTAGATTTCAGGAGGATGTAATTCAATGTTTTGCGTGGCATATAGCCAGGAAAGTAGTTGTTTTTCTCTTGTTATCTACCAGTTTCGTTCATTTATGAACTTTTGTGGAAATTACTTTGAGCTTTGAATATTCTTCGAGCATTTTGGCTTTTTCATAGTTGCTAGTAAGCTATGATATTGACTATAACTTTTCCAGTTCTCGTCCATACTCAGACCTACACCTTAGGAATGTTTGTGGCAGTCGTGATAGGTTCTGGTAAAGCACTCAGAACGATTTTCATGATATTGGTGATACCTTCTCATGTGCCTTTGGAAAGGCTACCGGCTGCTTACGGTTTGCAGTTTGCTGTTAGTGGAATAACCTTCATAGTACTTGGACCAGTTGTAGGTGAGGAAAGAGTCCAGTTTCCAGGAATCTGAGGTGAATTTGAATAATGGTCGAACTGAACATGAAATATTTTCCAGGATGGATACGGGAACAAGTTGGAAGCTACGTCTATACGCTACACATACTGAATATCCTGACTTATCTTACTGCCATTTCTTGGACTATTGACAGTTGGATGACGAAGAGAAAGAAGAAGATTGAAGATGGTGTCAAGAAGGATCAACAGATGATTTCATGAAGTGCAGAGTCATCAAGGTTCCTACTCAGTACTAGGCACTATGTGACTAAATATATCAAAAATGTCCTTACTCAATTTGACAGTGAAAAAACTTCATGTTTGAAATCGTTTCGATGTAGATTATGCAGGTGGAGTTCGAAATTACCACCAATTATTTTGATCTCATTATCAATTTGGATTTAGTATGATATAGGCCGTCAGTTGTTAGAAAGCCATAGTGACTTTGAAAAATCTCCATAAATGATAATATTTCCACGAAATTCTCGATAACAAGACATGCTGCACTTACACATTATCTAGCCTATTCCAGTGATGTGACTAATTTAGGTAATTCAATGTTAGGTCAATTTATAGTATTAGTATTTCACTGAAAGAAGCTACTATGTGTTAGTGAAACAAATTTTGTTAAGTTTTCACCTCGGTTTTTAATATTATCGGTTTGGAAGAGAAACACCGGCCATAAAATATTATGAAAACCAGAGTGTTCCCAAAATTATAAAGGAAGTGTCTTGGGGAAAATGATCTCAAAGAAGTGCGAAAATAGGAATAGGTCCTTTTATTCAAATTTGAAAATACGTCTTTCAAGTTACTAATATGTGATAAAATCTGTGTGAATAAAATTTGCATCAATAAAGATTGATATATACCTACGTCTCAGGAATTTCTAATAGTGTTTATCCGCATTTCTCATACATGCAGTAGGAAATTGAAGAGTAGTTCTTATGGTGTTTTGTCTCATCTTTCCGAAACTGAAAAAATATTTCGATAAAAGTGATCACAAAGTAAACTTATTGGACATGAAATGTGAATTTGAACCAGGCCTGGCTCTGGATTTTTTTTTTTTTTCATAATATGCCATCTTGGATAGTTTCAATAAAGAAATATCATTGTCAAGTTTCAGCAAAATAACGACGAATTATTCCTGAAATATCGGTCATCAGTAATATGGCAATTTCACAAAATAAATCAGATGATTTGCCAAAATGTCACTTCGTTTGACAAGTTCACTGAAAAATTTCAATCGATAGGCTGTAGATAGGGCAAGTGTGTGTTATGGAAACCCATTATATCATATATTATCGGGGGGTGTATGAATATCTCACAATTGCCTCAATGGTTGGTGACACGTTCACGATATTCAGCTGTTTCCATCTAAGTATATTTATTCGCCGTCCTAAGCAGGCTGGCTGGAGAAGACGGGAATAGGCATTGGATTTGATGAAAACAGCTGAATTTCTGGATTCTCTGGATTCAATGGGAATTGTCTCACGGATAGTTGAATTCAATTACGAGATATTAGGCGACAATCGCTAGAACCATACGTCAATGGCGGCTCCAAGGGGTGCGGTAATGGGGTTGTTACCCCAATACACAGCGTTGTCAACACAGAGTAGATTGCATAAACACAAAGAAACCTAATTAAATTTCTTGAATATACGCCTCACCATCGCATAGACTGAGAGATGATTGTGGAGATTCAACAGTGATATTCGTCCCGATTCGGCAAATATATAGGGTGTTCCTTAATGATTTGGGGGAAAGGGCATTAAGCATAGGCATAAATTTTCCAATTTTCGTTTTGGACAAAAAATTCATGATACGACTTGATCACCCTAGTTGAATTATTGATATAATAATAATAATATTTATAATATATATATAATAATAATGATTACAATGAAGAAACAGAATATTCATAAAACAGGGAATAAATGAGAAGAACCACAAGAGGAGTTCCTTGAATGTGGATTTTCCAGTTATTTCTATTGATGAAATATCTTAATCTCATATTATCTTATATAAATCTGAAATAGCTGGAAATAAAAAGATTTTTGTTTATAGTATTCGAGGTATGTTTCAATAACAGGACATGTATATACAATAACGAATAAAAAATAGTAGATTGTTTTATTAGGATCAAAAGTGACACTTTGTTTGACAAGCGAATTTTGCATTTGCGAGGCGGAGCGTTTAGCGAAGCCGAGCGAAAGCAAAATTTGCGAGTCGAACAAAATCACTTTTGATCCGAATGAAACATGCTATTTTTTCTGCAACCGAAACAAATAACTCAAATAAATATGTGGAGTTACCACCAATACCGTGCCATATGTAGGTATGCAATGCAACAAATATTGAAAAATAATCCGCGAGGTGAGAACATTCTATACCTGAATCAACAGCAGGTTCATTCAATTTTCAAGGATGTTCGAATTGTAGTTTCAATATGAATACAATCATAGAGTGACATATTTGTGTATGGACCAGGTGCTCTAATGGCAAATACCGCGTCAGTGCCAGCTATAGAAACAAGACTTGGAAAATGTTAGGTTAAGTGAGCATATCAACAATAAGAAGAGCAATTATTGTTTCCTCTCCGTAATACAATGTTTGTCGCTTGATAATCAAAAGAAAGTTAACAATATCGTTGTTTGAGACAAAAAACTATTGCTTGCCGTGATTATCCAAAAACACGTTATCCATCCCGAGAATAACGAATGAAATACAGATCAAGCAAGTATTTGAATCTTGAAGGCTTCCCTGTTCAAAACAAAAATACTTAACTGAGATGTTAATAATTCCAATACTAAACTATAATAAGGTGTATTTATATCTCCAGCATGGGTATGAAATGCCAAATCTGCTGAAATCGGGAACAAATCAGGTATGCCTCTCAACCCAAATAACCAACCGTCACAATGTTGTTTATTCTTGATGACGTCCAGTAGATCCTTTTTAGTTCCTAGGACCTAAAATTCAACTTTAGCTCCTAGGAACTAAATATGTTGCCTAGCAACATACCTATTTTTGTGTCAGTAATAGAAACGTCAATTTAAGAGCTAATTTTGGTATCAAAATGGACGACTTTTTTGTCGGTTGCAGAAAAAGTACATATATCATATATCAATAATATCTCAACACACACAGTAGAAGTTGTTTTAATATCAGTTTTTAATATCAATATACTGACTGATCAGCGAACGAGGCATAGTGAGTATATACTGGGGATAAAAGAAATTTAATTTTCTGAGCTATACGACTCGGAAATTCAGAGTATCTATACTTGGAAATCCTGATGGGTCTGTATACACAGCGAGGTACAGAGTATTTCATTTTTAGATTGAAAACCTGTAACTGGAAATATCATTTTCCGAATTGATATTTGATATCTCCAACTCAAAATGAGGAATTCAGTTTTTTCGACTCAGGCTTTAAATTCTCTACCCATCATCATCAGTCGTAAAGTTCGAGTTTGCAGTGGGAAGTTACTATAGTTTGAACTGTAAATTTAATTGTCCTTTATGTTTGAACTTGGAAATTCCGACTGCAGAATCAAAATTGCGTGTTTTGAAATTGGAAATTCCTAGTTTGAAGTAAGAAATTCCTGGTTTGGAGTCAGAAAAAACTAATATTTTCCATGAAATGTTTTTTGTGAAACTTTCCTAAACTCAATTTGCCAACTCGCCTAAGATTGGGGGGGGGGATTACCTAATTCAAAAGTTGTGATAGCTCATAGCATACAAGATAATAGACCCAATAGAAACAACCACGATGGGAAACAACACTCACTGAACATCTTCCTACTCTGTCGATATTGTAATAATATCACTAATATTTCTTGTTACTATGACAATTTGTTATCTTTATTTGAGGTTGATTTGAGGTACGCTTTAATGCAACGACATTCACCTGCCGAATCGACCCACAAATCATAAAATGCCATGATGAAGCATAAAATCCTGCTCATTAAAGATCCACTTCGGCTAATATAATGTATTCCCGAAGGTATATATGCGGGAGTCCCTAATGGAGAAAACTGCCTCTTTTTCGCTCATAATTTAGCACATCGGGAATGTGCCATTTAAAAGCCGCATCTCCATCATTTAAAATATACTCGGTTCTCGATTCCATGTGGGATGCCATTTTTTAAACTTAATCAATGAGAACGAAAACGCCAATTAATGTCAGAATTCTGAATTTCAAATAATAATATTCAAAAAGCCTCTAGCTTTGACTTCAAAATCAAATTATCTAAAGTTTACTCCATTAACTGAACTTCAACATAATCAAAACAATATTACAATGCCTTAAACCTCAACCTTACAATCACAATGTTTTCTCCTACGTTTCTTCCTCTCTTTCTTGTTTCTTTCTCTTTGAACTTATTCTCTGTTGTGGTAGTCACTTCATTTAAGGAAATTTGTCATGTAATTAAATAGTTTTTGTAATTTTGGAACCTGTGAATAACAGTAATAACTTCGAGATTTATTTCAAGGAGAATTATATCATACTAATGCTATCGATCATCCCACTTAATAATATATCTGGAGGTTATATGAATATGTTTTCGAAAATTGCAGATTTTTGGGTGCGGTTTTTTCAATTTTGAAGAATAATCATTGAGTATAAGACACATAGACCGCTGATGAAAATACATGGTGATCTATTCTATTCTATTCTATCTGGCTATACAGGGTGACAAACAAACCTCTGCAAAATATTGAAAAATTTTCATGTTTTTTTCATGTTGGTGCCTGTTCTCAATTGTGAAAACTGCATATCGGTATCTATCGATTCAGAGTTACAGGTTGAAACTCTGAATTTTCGAAAAGTGGTTGAAACACATTTTTTTGTCAAACATTCTTCGTTTCCATAAAAACATTTCCAAAGCATCGTGTTTGTCATGAAAATTGATCCTCAAGCACTGAAATCAGTCATCATATACCTAGTTTCAAAATAGAACTTTTCCTTCAAGAAGAACAAGTTATATTTTTGAACAAGATATAGGAAGCAGCAGGAATGATTGCTATCACAAACCCAATGATTTGATTTTATGAGAACACAAGTTTTGCCAAAAAAATAATTGTATATAGCCACTTTTCAAAAATGTCCATTTTCGAACACCTTGTAACTCTGAAACGAAGACAGATATCGATATGCGGTTTTCACCATTGAGTACGGAAAGTGATTCTTTCCCGCACGCAACTGCCGTTGACGAACGACGCGAAGCGGAGTTCGGGCAAGCAGTCGAGTGCGGTGAAGACAGTTTCTGCATGAGTTAGGAACAATATTTTTTCTACAAGCGTACGAAATTGATTGATTTGTTCAATTAATTCATGCATATAGAAACAGCTACCAAGAGAAATATATTCTCTATCTACTGATTATTAGTAATAGCTATAGTGATCTTACAGTTTGACGCATTATGTAGGTTCATTGCGGCCAGCCAGCAGGCCCATAAGGTGTTTGGTCTCTATGTTTCAGACACTTCTAGGAAATGAGCCAAAAATTCTTCTTCTTTATTCGGAATTTTCATGTCTTTATTGTTGCACTATTCAATGAAACGCGTGTATAGCTCCTGATACCTTCCTTGAGACTTCGTTGGCAATATCGCATCTGTATCGCATCCCTATAGCTGGAAGTTTTTGATCACATTGTGTCAATTCCACTGAATCGAAAATGACAGTAACGCTGTGTCTGTCACTTCGACAATTACACACTCATTTGAGGTTTGATTGGCATGACAACAATAATCGTTTCCCATCAGATCAGTCCAAATCATTAGGGGGATTTTTATTTTTCAATATTTCTTAATTTTCACAATAAATAGTGCAATTTGATGGATGATTCTGATCATACATATACT